ACTGAAGTAAGTGACCTTTTCAGAATTTCTCCGGATGATGGTGTTTAGTGCTAGTTGTTGACATTTATATTTATATTTTTGATTACAGTTTGATTCCACACGGTATTTTCGGTACAAGTATCACCAATGATATTCCTAATTGTGGTCGACTGGATTATGCGTCAGACTGTGGGAAACGAGAAAACAGGAATATCCTGGACCGACGTGAAGAACCTAGAAGACCTGGATTTCGTGGATGACTTATGTTTGATGTCACACACAATCGAAGACTTACAAGCGAAAACCGACAAACTGGTTGAAGAAGCAGCAAAGACGGGACTCCAGGTAAACATAGACAAGACGGAGGTTATGAAAATAACCAACCAACAACAGCAACAACATCCAACGTCAATCACCATCAACGGGAGGGATTTGAAAGAGGTTACTTCATTCACTTATCTAGGAAGCACTGTCTCATCTACAGGCAGTCAGAACGGACGAGGATGTCAAATCGAGCGAGAATCGGGAAGGCGAGCGAGAAACACATTCATCAGCCTGAAATCAATCAGGAAATCTTTGTCACTCAACTCAGCATCACCAACAAAATTCGGATTTTCAATACAAACGTAAAGTCAGTTCTTCTATACGGATCAGAAACTTGGCGGGTCACAAAGTATATTTCCAAAAGGCTGCAGACCTTTATTAACAACTGTCTTCGCTCAATACTGAAGATCAGATGGCCGGAAAGAATCACCAACAAGAAACTATGGGAACAAACAAAACAAGAACCGATCAATCGCCAACCAACAAATATGCAGGAGAAAGTGGAGATGGATCGGACACTCGCTGAGGAGACCGCTCGGTGACACCGCCCGTCAAGCCCTTGAGTGGAACCCGAAAGGGAAGCGGCGTGTGGGACGTCCAAGAGTGACATGTAGGAGATCGTGTGAAGAGGAGTTGAAAGAATATGGATTAACATGGATGCAAGCGAAAAGTATAGCAGAGGACAGAAGAAAATGGAGACGTGCAGTTGAAGCCCTATGTTCCACTAGGAACCCAAGGGAGCAATAATAATAATAATAATAATGGAATTTTCAGCATGGATATCGGTAGCCCAAATTTTGCAGGCCGACCATAGATATCAGGTTTGCGTCGGTAGGGGATCGAACCTCGGACTATGTGCATGGTCGGTGAGAGTCCTAACACCACTGTGCCACCGATGTTGCTGCTGTTGGTTGGTTGGTTGGCTGGTTACCTTCATCACCTCCGTCTCCTCCATGTTCATCTGGAGTCCTGTCTTCTCTGCCTGCCCCATTTCTTCTACTAGTTTGTTGGTTTTAGCCTGTAACTCTTAGAGTTTGTGTGTGTGTGTGTGTGTGTGTGTTTGACATTCAACATAAACCACCCATGTGCAAAATCCAAATCTCCTAGAGTCTTCTTATGGGTAATCCAGCGTATTCCTGACTCCTCGCACCCAACATACAGTCTGACGCATAATCCAGTCCACCAAAATTAAGAATGTCATAGGTGATAACAGTCAGGTGACCTTGTTTTATTCCTGCATTCACTTCGAACGCAACTAGACAACTTGAAATCCCGACGATGGGTAACTAATATAGCTGATTAGATGTTGTATGAATTGTCCGCAGTACTTTATATTCGCATATAACTGAATGGTTGTTAGCAGTTCCGACTTGTCTGATTTCTATCCTTATTTGCATCATCTCTGGGCGTTAGAGGTAATCGGTAATCACTATGAGCATCGTATTTTTACAAATCATCAGGATTACTAATATCACCATAGACATAATGGTCAGTATGCGAAGAAATGTAAGTTAGCGGCTCTCTCTAAGATGACTCAGAGTTGTACATAGTAGTAAAGACTCATTTAATTTTCACCACCCTTCAATTGCCGAATATATATTCATTATTCATTCCTCTTTAATCAAACAAGCCCTAGATGAAAAACTTCGTCCGGAACAGGCTGGATTCAGGAGAAACAAATCATGTATTGATTAAATCGCCACTCTACGGATCATCATTGAACAAAGCTTGGAATAGCAGTCACCTCTCTACCTCACTCAACTTCATCGACTTTGAAAAGGCCTTCGACAGCGTCGATCGAGAGGTCATTTGGCAACTACTTCGCTACTACGGGGTCTCATTGACAATTATACATCTCATCCAACAGTTATACGACAATGCTGCATGCCAAGTAATCCACAACGGGAAACTTACGAAAGCCTTCGAAGTGAGGACGGGAGTGCGACAAGGCTGTCTACTATCACCAATGATCTTCCTGATTGCAGTAGATTGGATAATGCGACAGACAACGGCAACCAACGAGGGAACAGGCATAAAATGGACTGACACAAAAAACAACTTGGAGGATCTGGACTTCGCCGATGATATTTGTCTGATTTCCCACAAGCTGGAAGATATGCAAGTGAAAAGCAACAAGCTGGCGACAAAAGCATCAAAGATAGGAACTCAAGTGAACATAGATCAAACAGAGGTGATGAAGATTCCTGGCCAACATCAACAGCAACAACAAAAACAGACAATAATCAGCATAAATGGGAGGAACGTGAAAGAAACAATCTCCTTCACCCACCTACCTGAGGAGCATCGTTTCTACTACAGACGGAACTGACGAGGATACCAAAGCCAGAATCGGAAAAGCAAGACAAGCTTTCATTACTCTCAAATCTGTGTGGAGGTCCACAGCACTCAGCATCAAAAATAAGATCCGGATTTTCAACTCCAATGTAAAGTCAGTGCTACTATACGGATCAGAGACTTGGCCAGCGCGTCATCAGGAGCATCTCCAACAAACTTCAGACCTTCATCAATCAACAGTTGTCTTCCCTCAACACTCAAGATCACATGGCTGGTCAGAAAAGATCAGCAACAGGGATCTCTGGCAATGAGCGATCCAACCCAGCAGGAACCGATTGTGAAACAAATCGGCAGGAAGAAATGGAGATGGATTGGCTGGCCATACTCTGAGGAAACCATCAAGTGACATCACTAGACAAGGCATCGCTGGAGTGGAACTCGAAAGGGAGGCAGCGAGCTGGTTGTCCAAGGGTGACTTGGAGGAGGTCATGCGAGGAGGAGATAAAAGCATGTGGACAGACCTGGAGCAGGGTGAAATAGTTGTCAGAAAACCGAAGGCTATGGAGGTGCTCAGCTGAAGCCCTATGTTCCTCTAGGAACTAAAGGATACAATAATAATAATTCATCCCTCTTTAAATTATTCGTTGCATCGTATCAATGTCCCCCGATAGGTAGACACCACGATGTATGTCGATCCATCTCCTCTTTCTCCTACATATTTGTTGAGTGATCGGCTCTCGTATGTTGGTTTGTTCCCTTCACCATGGAGCCAGTGGGGAGGGAAGCTGTTGATGAAAATCTGCAGTAACCTCATCGAGTTTTTCCCTTGTGGGTCATCTGGCGCATGACAAGCATTGTCATGTAGTCAGTTGTTGAAAGAATTTGACAAAGACTTGATGTACGCAATAGTTTTTAAGAAGTAGTTTCCAAATTACTTCTCGGTCTACGCCATCGAAAGCCTTTTCGAAGTCGATAAAGTTGAGGTAGAGGCAGGTTTGGCCGCCATTCTATGCTTTGTTCTACGATAACGATGCGTAGAGTTGAAATTTGATCAGTACAGGATTTGTCTTTCCTGAATCCAAATCCTTCCGGTTGATGGAGTTCTGTGACTAGTGCATCTTTTATTCTCTCTCTAGGATGATGCCACTTAGAAATTTACCTGGCGTGGACTAAATTTCTATTATCTTCACTAATGTATGCTTTCTTTAAGTAATAAGCATATGAGATTATGTGTAATGTTTCACGTTGATTAGTTAGTTAGCCTTTAGTCTTAATATCTGGTTTTTAAACAGACCTTGTAGTTTTATTTCAGTTTAAATTTTCCCGACGATTGATTGGACCGAAGTGCTCCATGTCAGGTTGATATATCCGCTTCCTTCACAGATACTTCGACGATGTCTGGTCACATGACTTGAAGTCAGTTGGTGGATAGTGACTAGAAGTGGAATCAACCAGGATGCACATTTCGTCCAATTCGGAACTCGTCATTCAAGTGTACCTGCATTCCATAGTGAACGAGTAATGGTGATCCCACCGAGACTCGAATCCAGCGCCATTAGTTTCAAACTCCAAAGTATTATCCACTAGACTACTTGGGCCACGAGAGTCACCTCTTTCTTGTGCAATGGGTCTTAATTATTGTTGAATTCAATTTAAATATTCCTGCCGAGTTACACCATCGGACTTATGCCCAATTCACTGTCCCCCATTCAGGTTCCACTCGAGGGCCTAGCTCAAATCTTAGGTTGGCAGATTGTTAGCGATGTGATTAGTGATAAGTGAGGTGAGATGAAAGCCTGGTTCGCTGACTTAAGACCATCTCAGCAAGTTTCGTTGTCAACTAACCACCACCTCCTCTTCTTCTTCTGATTGAAGTTACATGACCATACATCATCAAAGCATCTGAACAAGGAGCCGATACATCAACCTGAAACAGAGCACTTCGGCCGTATCAATCAACGGGAAAATCTAAAATTGAATTAACTAATCAATAAGACGCGTTGCACAAGAATGAGGTGGCTTTTGTACTTCAAGTGGTCTAGTGTATAACGCGTTGGCTTTTGAAACTATGGGTAATGGGTTCGAGCCTCACGGAGAACACCATCACTCACTCACTCACTCACCCACTCACTCACTAGGGAATGCTGGTACCCACAGGTGACGAGTCCCAAAATGGAACGAAATGCAAATCCTTGTGGATTCCACTCCTAGTCACTATCCACCGGCTGACTTCAAGTCTCTGTGGATGATTGCCACAAAGACGCTTTAACCGAGAAGTTATTGAATTATATCATTGAAATTAATTTTTATAAGTCTGACTAACGTGTTCATCAAGAATGATACTTAAAACTTCACTTATATTCCCCACTTCCTCTTCATATAACTTTTTCTTTTCTTCACAGAAATTGTAATAAAGATGCAAGAAGACAAAGATTTCAAAGAATTTGGGAAAATTTGATATCTGAAAGTGTTTACTAATAGTTTTCATAGAAAAACATTCAAACAAAAAATACCCGCCTTTTCTTCATTGGCTTTTATACACATTGAATATTGAATTGTATTAAAGTAGCTTGTGTAAAACAAATTCAAATAATTTCAATGATTGAATGCCGTTTTTATTTGACAAAAGTCTGTTTTTTTAGTCTTCCGGAAGTTTCTTGAGCATTTCTGTGGTCAAATTTATCAAGTGTCCGTTTCCTGAAACAGTTAAATTGTGAAAAACGTTCCTGGACAAAAGGTTCAACGTGAGCAAAAAAAAATCCCTCTGGCATAAACAATTCTCTAGACAATTGTTGTAACTAAGAAGTGGCTATAATTACAGGGTAGTTTTTAAGAGGTTGGAAAATAATTTTTCCCCATAATCACGGAAAATGCCCATTTACACATTAATATGGGTAATTTCTATGAATTAAAAATTTATAGACAGAAGATCAGTAGTTCAGTGAAGAGTCTCTTTTGATATAAGAATAGAACTTGTGCACTGTAGTGGTAGAGTATAATTCCATTATGGGTAAATTTTTGTTTTGATAAATAATAATAATAATTGCTTTATTCCAAAAACAGTACTCATGATACAGCAAGGAATTTTCAGCATTCAGTACAATATTGCATCTAATTTACTCAAAAACGACAAAAAAAATTAAAAATACACAATACATAATAGTAATAAAACGATTGTTGTAGCAGCTACGTAGCAAAATACTGTGTGCCATACGGAGAAAAATATGTATAAAGTACAAAATTGTAGTAATAATAGTAATACCAACTAATATAAAATAGCAGAGTAACGATTTAAACGATAGAAAGTGTGACACCATAAAATACAGAAAGATGAACGATAAAAGGGTCGATTCACTGTGCTAATTACATAGTAACTTGTAAGTTTCACGTCTAACAGAGTCTTCGTCACATAAAGTACGCGCTAAATAGGGTATTGTAGAATTTCTATACTTAGTAGTACGAGCATATATCTTTTTATATTGACTTCTCGTCCTACCTGATGAGATACAAGGGGACAGGTGTGAATAAAGGGGGTGCAGAGGGTCTGACATTATAGCCTTTGCCCATTTCGTACAGGAATTTATATGCCTCTCGACTATAGTATTAGCGAGCTCATGCAGTGGCAGACCACAAGCTCTACTCACAGCATTTAATACTCTTCGTAATATGATATAATCTTTTTTGAGCAGCCCAGGAAAGATTAATGGAGAGCAGTAGAGTACAATAGGTAAAATACAGGAGTTTAAAAATTGCAAAACTAAAGGTTGGTTGATACCTGATTGTCTTAACTTTTTAATGTAGAAGGTAAGACGAAACATTTTCTTAGAGATAGATAAGATATGGGATGACCATGAAAGGTCAGAGGAAAAAACTAGTCCAAGGTATTTAATACTTGATTTGGTTTCAATTTCCGTGCCATCTATGCTACAGGGATCATGAGAGTTAACTAGTTCAAGTAAGTCACGTCGATGCTTGAAAGTAAAGTCAAGCGCCTGACATTTGGAAGGATTTAATATAAGACCATTTGACTTGGACCAGTTGTTGATGTCCAACAGAAAGCTATTAAGTTTGGAGCTGTCAGACTCGGAAGTGATAGGCAGTGATACAGTCAGATCATCTGCATATTTGACAAAGTTAGTTTCGTTTGAATGAGGCAGGTCATGTAGGAAGAAAAAAAAAAGAAAAGGAGAGAGGACAGCACCTTGTGGAACACCGGATTTTGTAAGCGAGGTAGAAGAAGATTTGCCGTTATATACAGTATACTGCATTCTATCAGAAAAATAGGAATGCAACCAACTCTTAGCCCAGGATCCTGTTTGTGTCAACGATAGCTTATTTAACAAAAGGCCCCTAGGTACAGAGTCAAAAGCAGATGTGTAGTCTAAGAAAGCACTACGAACATATTTAGCACCTTTGTCTAAACAAGAGACAACATTGTGATATAAGACAACCGCAGCATCCAAGGTACTTCTACCATGTTTGTATGCAAATTGTTTAGGATCATTAAAAGGTTTCAAAGCGGGTTCAAGACGAAGTAAAAGTAATTTTTCCATCAATTTTAAAAAGGGGGAAGTAATTGCAATAGGCCGAAATTTAATATCAGAACCAGAAGATGGTTTTGGTATAGGGATAATTTTAATGTTTTTCCATGCAAAAGGTAGAACGTTACCGGAAAAAGAGGCATTAAAAATGTTAGTAAGAGGATAACACAAAATATCAGCACAATTCCTGAGGACAATGGCAGGTATGCCGTCAGGACCAAGGCTTTGAGAAGGCTTAAGAGACCGGAGACATTTAAGCACATCAAGGGTATTAAAACCACTAAAGTTATTGTCAATATGATTTGTATCATTTGGAAGGGTATCAACAGAAGAGCGTATGAAAGATTTATTAAGAGTGTCAACATTAAGAGATGGAACAGAAATACATCGCTTACCGTTAGTAATTTCTTTGAAAAGTTTCCATAAATTAGAAGGGGTTTTACATGACAAAAATCTTTGATTATATAAAACACTTAGTCTTTTTATTTCCAGTTTTATCAGCATGTTTAACTTTTTTACACCAGGCTTATCATTAGTTTTGAACAACAGTTCTTTATTTCTACGTAGCTTTTTGAGATATGGCGAAGATAAGCGATCAAATCGGATGAATAATGTTTCTTTAGGACAACATATTTCGAAACAGAATTTAAGATAATCGGTAGTGTTTGTGATTGTTTCATCTAATGTTTGTTCTGTAAATAAGTCCCAGTTAGTGTCTTTCAACATGCATCTGAGCTTGTCTAGGTTGTCTTTTGAGTAGCATCTCCGTTGAACTTTACTGTAGAGGTGAGAGAGGACACCTTTGTGTGATTTGGAATATATTTTAGGCAGTACACGTATGATGCAGTGGTCAGAATTAAGTAGAGGAGCACGTTTGCGAGCTTCATATATACCAACATCATTGATAAATACTAGATCCAGTTTTTTACCAAGACGGGTGGCAAAGTTGACAATATTGTCATGACCAAGTGATATAAGGAAGGAGCAATCGCTACCATTGAAGTCGCCAGTTACTATTGATAAAGAGTTCTCGAAACAAGCTGCAGCAAAAGCGGTGAATTCATCGGCGAACATAGATAAATCCAATATGGTACAGCCAGGAGAGACATAAACATTAGAAATATAAATGAATTTGTATTTTGAAAAGTGTTTCGGGCGACATCTCACAGTGATGCAATCAATGAAGTCATTCGAGAATTTGAAACAAACTTTGTTTGAAATGGACCATTTTGAGTGAATAAAAGTTGCAACACCTCCACCACACTTTTTCTTGGAACAAACACGGTCTTGTCGAAAAACATTGAAATTGTTTAGAGACACAATATTGTCATCGTATGAGTCATGGAGCCAGGTTTCTTGCAGAGTGACAATACCAGTATTGTGGTAGGTACTAGAAGACAACAGAGACTGAAAATCCAGAATTTTATTAGGCAGGGACCGGCAGTTGGTACTAATGATAACTGGAACAGTGGTGTGATGTATGGGTGTAGATTTTAAGGCACGCTGCCAACCTCCATGGTGCTTTTTCTTGAGTTTATTGCAAATATGAAAGTTTTTGGGTTTAAAACGTTTTATAAAATCCCGGGAGTAGATAATACGATTAGAATGCATAATGTGATATGTAAATACCAATAAAATACGAGTCTCACAGTGGTGTTATACAGTAATGTTTACTGATGACCACGTTTCGAGCACAATTTATTACTGCTCATAATCATATCAAGGTAATCACACGACTTCCTAAATTCATTTATATATATTTATATTCTGACAGATTGTCAGAACATAAGAATTTAGCTAAGGTAAGAATGGTTGACCACGAGAAGATAAGTAATTTAGAAAAAAGCTCAGCAACTGCACTGCATGCATTAACACACAACCACACAATAGGATGAGAGAGGGTTAAAATTCTAAAAAGTAATCTAGGTAGGTGGAGAGAGAGGTTGATTACTGAATCCTGCCTAGTTCATCGAGTCTACACCCAACACATGCAATAGGAATGACTCATCACTCATACCTGAAATATGGAAAATACTATTACCAATCAAATCAAGTGAAAATCAAGTGAAAAACAATGGAACTATATAAATGAATTTAGGAAGTTGTGTGAGGAGTACCTTGATATGATTATGAGCAGTAGTAATAAATTGTGCTCGAAACGTCATCAGTTCATATAACTGTAAACACTGTGCGATTTATCAAAATAAAAAAAGTCTTATCTATAATGGAAGTAACTTTGTTTTTTATGCATAGTTCTCGTTCTTCCTAATGAATGGCTAGGGCTTCTGCAATTCAAAAAATGACGGAAACGTATGGTCTTTGGCAGGTTGTTCTTCACTTTGTAGATTACTTTGAATCAGGAGGTATTTGTTGAGATGCAATGACCAGTGGTGACTAGTTGTTCGATTATTGTACTGCTTATATGGCTACTACTTCCTTTCTGCAGCCATGGTACATAGGGTTCCTTAACCCTTTCTGACGGGATTCGCGTGGAATGATCGATGTACCTGGCTCAACACCAACAGGTGGACTCATATTTACACATAGACGCTTCTCTGAACTACTGGTCTTCTGTCAATAAATGTTCGAATGGGGATTTCACATGAATTAAATAGCCTGTAGAAGTTAATAAGAAGAACAATTCTCTCAGAGATTGCATAAATAACCATAGATATCCAAAGTAGTATTGGAGAGCTCTTCGTTGCAATGGATATTTATCCTAACTCTCAATCTCTTAAACGTCACACTTTGAACCACATTGATTCCATTCTTTCGCGTGCTCCAGAATTGGAGAAAAATATAGCACAAGGAGCCTCTGCGTTATGTGAATTGTCAGGTGATGAAATCCAAGCTTTCATTGCGTGTATGAGTATGGTTATGGAGAGGCGCACAAGAGCCGTCCATTCAAACCTTTTAAGCAATTTTCTGGTAGATTCT